CTCGAAGAGCTCGACTGGGAAACCCCACACCCCGGGGATTGCGCATTTCGTTATCTCAACCTTTTCCTCACCCCCCGTCTTCGGAACCTTTCGCTCACCGGTTTCAATGGCTTTGCAGATTTGTGCGTTTTTGAAAAGATTGCAGTCAAATGCCCTTCCCTCAAGCATTTCTTCCTCGGATGGCCGGATGAAAATCGGGTTTCATACGAAGCCTCGACCGCAGTGGTATCGACCTTTGTCTGTAGATTGAAGAATCTCGAGACCCTGAACGTCCCCGACCTGGACATCGTGGCCCTTGCGCACGTAGCTCAACTTCCGCGTATGAAGGACTTGGCTATTCGATCCGAGAGGTTAATTCCCTCTCATTTCCCGCATCGCGGCGTTTTCCCGGCGCTAGTTGAGCTTGCCTTGTGGACAATGGAGCAGGCAAGCGCAATGTTTACTGCATTGGGCGAATGTTCCTTGACAGCATTCATGCTCCTGGGCACTGGGAGCCAGCCGCCCACCAACCACGTCGCCCGAAAATTTTACTCAACTCTAGCGAATAGTTGCTCACACTCGACTCTTCGAGACATTCGCGTTTCAGGGAATCGTATCGATTCATCCACGATGTCTACGGAAGCTTCCATTTATTCGATCGGAGGGGAGATACTCGAACCTTTGTTCTCCTTCACCAATCTCGTTTCGGTCGTTCTCTCGCATCCCGTCGGATTCGATTTGGACGATGCTACGATAGCGCTTTTAGCTCGTGCGTGGCCACAGATCGAACGCCTGACACTCGAGGCGGGATCCACATGGCATGTCCCGTCTCGAGTGACACTCCGTGGTCTGGCTAGCTTCGCCCAACACTGTCGCCACCTTCGGACTCTCCACCTAACTCTCGACGCGAGGGTCATCTCGCCGATAAACCAGAACGACGAGCCCAGAGTCTCACAGACGACGCTTGTCTATCTCCACGTCGCAGTCTCACCCGTGGGTGACTCACAGTCCGTCGCCGAATTCCTGTTCGAGATATTTCCCGCGTTGGAGGACATCAGAACCCTTTACGACGATATTTCAACGGCCGTGAATGACGATGTCGAGCAGCGACTGAGGCTGCGACTCCTTTCGGAAGCTCCAATTGGCGCCACTCACAAAATCTGGAAAGATGTTGAGGTGAAACACCTCATGCTTCGGAACCCGTACCCATGAGCAGGTTCGTGCTTAGTTGATACTCACTGCGTCGGGTGTTCGTATCAATCATGTACCCCATTCGTAGGTTGTGCATTTCGTTCATTTCCCCGAGCCGGGGAACCACGACCAGACATCATGACACAAATGTCGGACTGCAGGACTGGTGGAAGTATGACTCAATTATGCCGCCATTCTTTCTTATGATATGTTATCTCCCTGCGTGCATGTGCTTGGCTTCTCTACTATTTGATTCTGTCAACAACAGACAATCGAATCAGCCACACAGCGGGACGCGTGGACCATAACTTGTGGGTCACAATATCGTTCGATGTCAATACCAAAGCGCTCTTATAAGTAGTGACAAGGTAAAGAATAGATATGAATTGAAAGTGGACTACTTTGAGTCTGTATCGTTCCGTTCACAGCGAATCGGATCCGAATTCGGCGAAACGGCGAAAGTAGGAGTCGGAGTGTTCACAACGCAGCTGTATGTGATACACACTCGCGTACCACGGAAATCTTCACCAGTCTACAACCTTGTACTCCAGCCCGTCCGACGGCGGTCCAGGCGTCGGCCACTCGCTGGACGGAAGATCATCGAAGCGTGTCCAATTTTCGTGCGGTGACAACCAGTCCTGCGATCCGACTCATCAGAACAATACACACACTGCGTGCATAGACACAGATAACAACCTTTTTCCAGTGGGCGTTCCAGAAGTATGACCTGACTTCCCGAAGGCTACGAGAGGGTCAGGTTAAGCGGTGTTCATTCAACTGTTGTGCCTTACTCGATAGGCAGAGGCGCGACAAACTGGCCGCCGAGCTCCAGAGACTCGCTGTTGAGCCACGCGACGTATAGGCGACGTTGGGCTGTGTGATCATTATCAATAGGCTGCGAGGATGTACGAATTCGAAAACGCGCCTTCCTCCAGCAAGAAATCAACTGGGCCCCCAAACTTGTACATTTTGTTCTGATAGTCTGCCCACATGCGCTCGCGACTCGGGAGACGCGCCTTCCCCGTCCACACCTTAGCGAAGCCGTAGCTCTGGTAACCTCCAAGCGTCATCCACACTCCTGAGAATCAGGTGTGTAAATTGTTTTTTCATGAAAACCAGTTGCACGAACGGGACATATACGCCAGCGTCGGGTCATTGATGTAATGCCCCGTCCAGTGAAGGCTTTCAGCGGTCTGGGGATTCACTCTGAAATCGAAGTTCAGGTTATATCCAGGGTTAACTGGGGAAAAAAAGAGACATACAACTCGGGGAGGAAGTCGTTGGCGCGGTAGCCTGTGGCAAGGATGATCTAGCCAGTAATATGGAGGTTCTAGCCAACTCGAACAATAGCCAAATAGATACGGTACCTCATCCACTCCGTCAATAACAGATCTGAGATATATGAGGTGTCAAGTACAACATGGGGCCGTTAATTAACTTACCCATCTATCAGGTGAATTTTCCCTGCCTTGATGCCGGAATCATGCCTATCCAAGGGTTCGAAGGATAATATCTCCGAGACCATTTCCGTCTTTTCAGGGAAACTAAGGAGTAAATCGAATCTGTACGCGTCGCGATATTTATTCGACTGCGGGATTCATCAGCCCAATAGCTCAACTCAGAAAAAGAGTTGGAGTTGATAAAACGCACCCGAACACTCGCAAGCAGCCGGTGAGCGAAGGGCGCGATACTCCGCGCAATTTGGGTCGCGGAGATAGAGGCGCCAACGATGAGGACCGTCTTGTGGGAAGTCAGCGGGCATGTGTAGTTGGAGGTGCAGGGAATATGCATGCCTTTCCGGCATACCGCTCGGGGTGGCGGAACGACTGGGAGTGATACATGCTATACCGTCCCTCCTCCGTCGCAGCGCTCCAGTTGTCGATACCCGGGATGGGGGGCACATGGGCTGTGGTGAAACGCCCGGTAGCGACGACGACCGCATCGAACTCCTCATTCCACAAGTCCTCTCTGAGCTGGTTGGATTCGGACAACCGCTGCAGCCGTCGGAGGGTGAGCTTCCACGTCGACGTGTCGTTGCACTTCTGGATCGATTCGACGCGAGTGGAGTAGGAAGTTACTGGGGAGTAGCGCGGCCGATCGTTCACATTAAGTCCGTGGAGGGAGGCGTACGCGCGGACGTGTCGCTCCAGGTCATGGACAGAAAGTAACCATGGCTGAAGTATGCAATACAGCTGAGAGAGAGAAGAGAAGGTCAAGAATACTGTCTTACAGTGCCTGCAGGATGCTGTATGTCAGGGAGTCGTGTTACAGGCTTATCGTCCCATTAGTCAAAGGAAGCGCGCATAAACTCAGCTACATACCGCGGGTGAGTTAGTGTGCAGATCGAACCACACGGGGCGAGGCACCCAATGCTCTTTCCATCGATAATCAAGGCTTATCCCATTGTCTCCCTCTTCATAGTAGTGGGTCACAGGAAACTCTCCGGGATTGGGTTTCGGCACTCTAGCTGTGCTGTTGCTGAACAAGAAGAGGATCGGGTGAGAACTTGAAAAACAAAGCAAATAACGTACGGATACACCTCTCGAGCCGGTGTCTCCTCGGTGTAGAACCAGTTACCGCCGGGGGAAGGAGCACGTTCAAAAAGACGGACGGTCAAGTTTGCCTCCAATAGGCGAGCTGCAGCCTGAAGGCCAGCTGGACCGGCACCAATGACCGCTACGCGAGTGATTGGATGCGGGAAAGTCGTCCATCGAGAGATGTCGTCTTCCCAGGAATTGAAAGTTGTCTGTTGACTGAGAGCGGGAAGAATTGCTGCCGCGAAAAGGATCCTCTGCGTTTTGAAGCCCACCATTTTGACTGGATGGCGAGGTCAGGGAGGAATTACGTGGCATAGGGACGACTAGCTCCGAGTCCTTAGCTTTGTTGGTGCTGGCCCAGGTAAGTACGTGACTCGCTTCGCCGAGAGTCCGGCGGCGACCAAGCGGCCGTTCAAGCTCAAGCACAGACGAGATCAGAGCTCCGAGGAGATGCGCGCGCTCATTCCCACTTCTGTTTTCGAGCTCATCCGGAACCGCTGTTTCACGGCAGAGTTGGCGCAGAGTCAGGAAGCAACACGTCGTGGATCTGATGATCAACAATTTTTACTGTGGCGGTGATCGGAGTCTATATCCAACACTTGTTCATGCACACATTCTGCAAGTACTCCCAGTCACAACGGCGACTTTGGCTCACATCTTTACTTCCCAGGCAGATAGCCGACGACCCCATTAGATAGAAGATAACCAAGAAAAGCGACCTCCTCTGGTACTTAGATAAAAAGAAAACATCAATGGACTCGTTTTTCAGCGTTTTTCTCAATGTCTTTGGGAACGTCCCAGCTGGGCCAGCAGTGTCTTACTAGATTTGCCCGATATCCCTCTCAGGCTATACCTCCTGCGTTGCCTGGCACTTCGAGTGACCTTCGACGGAAAGCTTTGGTACCAGCTCGGCTTGAATTTTCTTCAGATTTCCACCAGGACGCGTAGAATTTTACTCCGACAGTAAGTTTCAGCAGCTTTGAATTGGGATCTTCATGCGGGTTGTGGCTGATTCAAGAAACCAACGGGATTCCGAGGCTTCGATGAATTTAAATACTCCATGTAAGAGGCTTTATGAGTCGAATAAGAAAATTGCAGCCATGTCCCATCTGCTGTCCACAACCAAGAACATGTTCCGGGCCCCGGCCAAAACCTCCCTCGCGACAATTGTCCCACGTCACTTTGTTTGAGTTTTCAATCCCGTCTTCTCATTTGTGGACCAACACGACTAGATGTCATCGATTCGAGTTATACTGTTGGTAGGTGTATCCTTTTTGTCCAATGTCCTCGTATTCCCTCTTAGCTCAGTTGGTAGAGCGCGTCACTAGTATCTTCAATCGGCACGCGCCGGTCATGACGAGGTCAGTCGTTCAAATCGGCTAGCGGGAATGTTTTGCCTGTGCGATTGGTTACGCCTTTTTGCTCTTTCCCCCTTAACCTTCCAATTCCGACTGCAACCTGGAGCGTTGCGCGCTCAAAGCGAACAACGATTCCCGACCCAGAAGGAACTGTCAATGCCGTTTATCCTGGACACGACTCGTTCGTAGCTACGATAGAGCGGTGATCTGCTACCAGTGCTAAGTAAAGTGCAACACGATCCAGTGACTCGCAAGGCTGCGTCAGTTTGGACTTATGCGACCAGGAGGGAATGCATCGGATGGGTATAGCAATGTCAAAGCAAATAAAGTACACATAGCATTATCCCGCGCCAGGCCGCTCCCGCTCCTCATACGCCGGCGGCCCTGATATCCGGAAATCGCTCTCCGCCCCGGGTGAGTCCATCGGATGCACGCTGAACAGGATCTCATGTGACGACGGCGCGCGGTTGAGCGACGCGCCAGCCGCATCTCCGTCCTCGTCCTCGGGCGGCAAACGGTCGACATACGGCCCCGGCACGGCAGGGAGCATCGCGCCTGGTGGGCGACGCTGGGATCTCGAGGATGACACGGACGCGGGCATATACCCGCCCCCGTGCTCGTCCTCAGGTGCCCAGGGGTCCGTGTTCCCGTACCCGCTGCTGCTCGGCGGGTAGAGCAGTCGGCTCGACGCGTCGGAGCTCTCGAGCGTGTGTGCGACGGCGACGGGGGCGTAGCGCCCGCGGCCGCGCATGTAGGAGTTCCAGTCGCTGAGACCAGACTGGGGGCGGGCGGAGCGCGCGCGGAGGGCGCGGCGGCGCTGGTAGAAGGCGAAGACGAGCAGGGCCCCGGCTATGAATACGGCAAGGCCGAAGGCGCTGCCGAGGCCGATGGCTAGGCTACGGTTGTTGGAGGGGATGGTGGATGGGCCTGCGGAGGACGCGGAGAGGGTCGCGGAAGCCGAGAGCGAGGAGGATAGGCTCGATGAAGAGGATGAGGAGAGTGACGACGTTGAGGAGGAGGAGGCGGAGGATGATAATGAGGAAGTGCCATTGTCCACGGTGTAGCTGCAAACCCGAGGGAGCAGTTAGCTCACATCCAAGGACGAGAAAAGCGGACGCACATGAAGCCATCGACGATGATGTAGTTCCCGTATGTAGCAATAAGCGTGTGTGATGTATTGGCCAGGCCCGTTGCCGACCAGACAGCAGAGGACAAGGCAGACTCTGAGCCGCCTGGCGGCGACGGGGAGGTAGATGGGTCGGTTAGGTTTACTAGAACCGACGGCGCGCCGTCCAGGCTTAACCGAGTGCTCACGTCGTAGGGCCATCGCGGCGACAGGTAGTACACGGCAACGCCTGGCATGGCATCAGAGGGGTTTGGGGCCGAGCAGGAGGAGACGCACCGGTGAAGAGAAAAGTCGCACTGGCAGACGAGTCGCTGCTCAGCGTGTGGCTTCCTCCGAGGTCGAGTCCAGACAAATGGGAGGACGACGGCTCCCATATCCCTGAGTAGCTTATCATGGGGCTCACATCGTCGACGGTGACGTTCAGGAGCGCGTCGACGACCTGCAGCAGGGCCGGGAGAGGCAGCAGGAAGAAAAGGAGCATTACGCTCCACAGTGGTCGCGCAGGGAAGAAATTTGGGACAAGCGGTTACCGATCACATTGAATGTGGGCGCCTTGATCTTGCGATCCTCCGCTTCGACACCCAGCGAAAAAAAACTGGTTAGACGCCCAGGGCTATCACTCCGGGTTCTTGTGAAGAAAAAAAAAGGACTCACGATTTTGTGACGAAGGATCTCGCAAGGGATAGCGACCAGCCCAGCTTCTTCAGTATGTGAACAATGGCCGTTTCATCTCAGTTCAGACGCGGGTGCGGACAGTAAAGTGACAGCCAGCACAAGGTTACCGCAAGGCACCCAAGGGAGCGGAAATCACTATCACTATCGGAGGGAAATTCTGACAACGATTGGTCAAGAGAATCGTCCATTGAAGGCGCACTCACCTCTGGGTGTCGATCCACGTCCACGCGCAGGGACTTATGTGTCAATGTACATTAGGATGGCGCGAGATACACACTGATACACGAGCCTAGTAAATGTACTCAAAAGTCCATCGCACGATTAAAAGCGTCCATGTCCATGTCCATTCAGATAGCCTGCGGCGGGAGGTCTTGTCCCGAGCGCCTCCACGCAACCTTCGCGGGCTCCGGATAACCGATCGGCGCCTTGTGCTCCGAGGACAAGTGCTTGTCGTCGTGCACGTACCACGAAAAGCGCGAGAATCGCGACCAGGAATGATTCTTCGAGGTCGAGGACCTATCTGTAGACCCAACAGAGGATAAGTATCGCAGGAAGGCGCGTAAATGGTGCAGCGATTACGCACCGCGGCCGAGAACAAGAGGTAGCAACGGCGGTTTGTCGGTGGCGTGGCCGCCGAGAAAGTGCATAGTCGGGAAATGCCAAGGGAGACCGCGCTCCGTGGAAAAACGCCGGCGTGCCCGTATCCGTAGCAAGTACACGACGAGGATAATGAGGGTGATGAGTGCACCAGCACTGAGCAGGATTAGGAATACATTCAACGCGTTATTCTCCATGAATCTGAAACGGGACGTTAGGCGTGCCCTCGACGCGAAAGGTGAGTGTACGCACATCGTTTACACCTATGTCACCCGCAAAGAAAGAAAAAAGGAGGGCCAACGTGGCGCCGTGGAAGTGGGAAGAAGGAGGAAAGAAATAAAGCGGGAGCAGAGGTAACCAAAGAAGACTTGCAAATTGACAGCATGTGCAATGCTCTATCTAAATAAAAGTCCAGCGGTGATTGGTTCTAGTCACTTATCGCTGGTCTGGAGACAGTAGGGCTTGAGACTGAGAGGATAGTTCGTTACTGCGAGAGCAAAGGTGAAGGAGTTGGAACGTGATGTGGAAAGAAGCAAGGAAGCACGGCCCGGGTCAACAAGAGCAAATGACGATTTGCCGAGCGATGGCCGGGAACTTGGTTCCGTTCGTTTTCGTTTTCGCTTCGACTTGCTCAATGTTGCACGATGAGGTTGGTTTTATGTCCTCGATATCGTTATAGAAATTCATTTGTGATCTGAGATAACTTCAGAAAGGCTTCCTCTTTGACAAAAACCTCAGATACATTTAGTTGAACTGGTCGCTCAACCATCGACTGGGTTGAACACTAGATCCGATACCTATTGAACCACTCGCGCGTCGTCTCCGCCAAGACCCTGCTAGTTTCCACGCCATCAAGCGAATGACCCTCCTTTTCGAACCAGTGCATCTCCACGTCCTGCTCCGGGCGTTCGTTCCTCGCACGACCCTTCAGCGCATGGTAGTACTCCAGCCCATGCGTGGGGGTCACACGCAGGTCCGACCCGCCCATATGGAGTAGGACGTGGGACTTTACATGGTCGACGTATGCAATTGGCGACGAGGCGAATATCCGCTTGGACTCCGATGGTGTCCTACGCGGCGGGAGAGCGCGGCTATTGTCTTGCTCGGCTCGAATCGGGAATCCTTCCGGCGACGAATAAATCGGATAGTCGATGTTCCATTCGTTGAAGTACTGGAGTTTCACAACAAGACCGTTAGTTCGACAGAACGCCGGAAAGAGAAAAGGCTTGCCCAGTCGGGAATATCGGAAGACAGAGGGTCCGTCGAGATGACTGGGTTGCGAATCACGGCGGCGGTAAATACGTCGGGGAGTTGACCAATGACTTGTCGTGTTAGTCAGTGCGAGATAAACACATACAGTACGCAGAGGAGAACTAACGATGTGCAGTGAGGAACCCGCCGTGGCTGCCGCCCATCACGAATTGCTTGCCTTTACCTTCAGCTGAGATTCCGAGCTTGACGAGATGCCTGGCAGTTGCAATGCAATCTTGCACATCAAGAGTCCCACAGTTGCCCACCAGCGCACGAACAGACGCTTCGCCGACTCCTGTGGAGCCGCTGTAATTTGGCATAGAAACACAATCTGCGGCGCAAAATCACATTTCAGTAGCACAACAAATACCTGAGGACTTGAATTCTTACAGCCTTCGATCGCGAGGGATACGACGCTCGGCGAGAAAGCTGTCGTCGTTGAGCCGTGCGGTCCTCCGTGAATGAACTGGACGCATGGCGGCGTCACTCGAGTATCCCTCGGGCGAAGAACCACTGTCTGCGTCTTTCCTCGATCCGGAACGGAAATAAGTGAATAGCGGAGATTCGACAGGGCAGTCTGGACTTGAGGACCGTAAGTATAGCTTAGACGTTGGAAAGATACGTACCACTGGGCAAAATATATGGGGAATAGATAACTCGCCAAGTCACTTCGCCGTGAGCATTTATCTGACCCAGAACGACCTCGTGGGGGATACTCGGCGCACTGCGCGAGCATACCACCCGGCTCCTGCCATCGGTGGCCAGCATGCTCCACGAGTATAGCTTCTCATCGGTATCTGGGGTCAACTCGCGCACAGTTCCATCCGCGGTCGAGACCAAGAGCACTGTGGTGCGAGAGCCCCACGTAGAGCTGAATACGAAGTGGGCCTCTTCGCCAAGAATAACAAACGGGGACACAGGTAGATTCGCGTCGAGGTACAGTCCGGGGAAGCCGTCTGATACGCGAGGTTCCCAGACGGTATCCACGAGGATTTGGTTGGTTGCTTCCGCTTCAGCAAGATTGCGGTATTGGAGAGCAAATGTGCCGGCATGCGGTCCACCTGAGGCGTGCGAGAGCCAGAAAAGCTTTGCCGTCCCTGCCGTCCCGCCCACAGTACCGTGATAAATGCGAGGGGAGCGGCAGGAGAGATTGGACGGCGTCAGTTTCAGTGACAGGCATCGCAGTGAGACGGACGAGGTGTCATCAAGTTCGTCGGTATGGGTCGCGGAGGGAAGTTCGATCTCCCAAATTCCCGATGGACGGTTGAGACACCACTTTAGACCGAGAAGTCGTCCATCGCGAGTGTATTCGTAACCAGTCGCATATAGTTTTGTTGGGTTCACAGGGGAGAAGACGGGTTGGCCGAAGAGAATGGCGTGAT